CCCCCTTGTGTTCCAACAGTAGTTTAGACCTAATGCGATTTCCATGTTTTGGTCCCATGCATCGGCGATGGGTCCTTGATAGTCGAAACTGATGCATGGTGTGGTGCTTAGTTCTTTCTTCTAGACCTCTCTCCCAATTTGCAAAGTTATACACAGTACCTCAATGACGTTGACAAACCCTCAAAGAAGTGATTCACATCTGGGCCTCCGGGTGGCTATATTGAAACGTACGTAATTAGTGTCAAAAAATCCAATACTATAGAAGTAGATTTATTTAAAATGTGTACGTACATGTTTTGTTGACGAAAACGTGCTACTAGTAACATTGTTTTGTCAGTCCGTTTTCGGCCATCGTATATATTAAGCCATACTATATAAACATATACTGATTATATGTACTCTCCAAAGTAACATGTTTATAATGGGAATGCATTTTCGTGGTTACCTCAGTGACCGCGGGCATATATTATGCCAGGTTTGTTGTTATGTGGTGCCAACCAAGCTGTTCGTTTTCACCATTTCTGACGCTGTAGGAACATGAAGTTGTTTTATTCAAAGATAATTGTAAATGTCTCATAGTTTGTATCTATAATTTATTAAAATAAGTATACGAATCGATAAAAACATGAGAAGATGCATCGTGTCGGCTGCCTGAGCGCGAGTGTTTGTATGTTCAACAGCTTTGCACATCCTGTCTTGTTGAAAGGCACTGTCTTCAATTTTTTGTCTGATATCAACAAGCTTCATTTTCAGGCGCAATTTGGTTATTCAACTCGAAAAATCGTAACATTGGCATCAAGCTACATGTATATACAAAGTATCGTCAATATATAAAATGAACACTTGAACGATTTACAAAAACTTATTTCAAGACAAAATCATGCTTAGTTTGACGGATGTTCTGATTGTGAGCTTGACACAATTTTAGTGAATGAAGAGGATAAAGGGTTAATATGAATATATTTGATTATTGAGAATTGGTCATATTAAACAAAACTGTGATGCTATGTTATACATACGTGATAGTTTGGAGTAAAATAAAACCCGGTATTAATTTCAACATTGACATTCTTGACACCATTCTTATCGCTGTGAGTCATATATG